GTCGGCATCAGAGTCGGGGGGTGAGAAGTTGGGCGTAGCGGGCGGGGGGGGGAAGAGGCGCTGACGTGGCAGAAGTCGGCCGGCCACGTGTCAATGATCCTTCCACAGATCACGGGCGGCAACCTTATGACGACTTCTCCTTCCTCTTCAATGATAAGGTTCAATGGACTTGTCACAGCAGCTCCAGCAGCAGGACGCCGAGGTAGCCGCCATCCAAACACTTCACCGGGCAGCAGCGGGTTGGCGAGTACGGCTTGAAGCAGCRGCGGCTGGAGTAGCTCCGGAGTGGAGAAAAGGTGCAAGCTTGGGTGGCGAATGTATCTGGTCGTCTTGATGGACCATGTCCGGCTGCAAGAATGGACTTGGCAATAGCTATCCGTGGTGGCGGGGTAGCAAGGGAGGGAGGGAGGGAAGGGGGGGAGCAGAGGTTAGAGAACCCGCTCCGATACCAATGTGACGCACGTGCGGAAGGCACGTGTGGAGATGGTGAGAGAGAGAGAGAGAGAGAGAGGAGATGGACACACACGAGAAGCAGCCGCCGAGTGAAGGTCCAGTCCGGCCCAATGAATGAACGAACAACTGAATGAATGAACCTCCCGCCCTGGGCCTAGGCCGAAGTGATATACCGGCCTAGGTCCAGGTACGGGAAAACCTGGTACTGGACTAGGGTCAGGCCGACGGCCTGAAACTGGTCCGGCCTCACTGCCGGGCCGTAGGGGTACCGCTACAGAGAGGGTCTTCAGTCCTTCAGCGCCAGAAGGCCCCACAATGGTGGCCAAGATGCGCAGAAGCCAGATCAATCCAAAAGTCAACTGTCGACCGTTGGCCCCTCCTCTCCTGACAACCTTCCAATTCACAACTTATCCCTTCAACAACTCAACTGCCTCTCCTAGTTTGCCTCCCCAAGCTGCCCCATTCCCTCAGCAACTCCCTTTAGGGGGTAGGTGATGCCCTGGCCAACAACGGAAGAAGCAGCTCCTTTGACCGCCTCAGTGGCAGGCACAGACAAAAGCGGGGTCCAATCATATATGCCAGCGCCAGGGGCTGGGCACACATCCACCCATAACCCCTCTCTCCGCTCTCCCTGCCTTAGTCGCACCTACCACTATTCCTGTTGCGTATCCCTCGGGTCAGCAGCATCAGGTCTAACCCTTAATGGAATCTGGCACAGCGGTTCCACGCTGCACTTCGCGGCAAGCCCGTACCGCACCACACAACTCCTCACCTCCACCTTGCTTCTTAGCTCTGCATGTACCGCAAACACTTCGAAGGTAAGTACCTACCGCTTTCCCCACCCGTCTTTACCTCCCCTCACTCACCGCCCTTCCGCCGGCCTTCACTCCCTCGGCTCATGGCCCATTGGCTGTGTAATCGCACTTGGCCGTAAATACGACCATGTTCCATCCACCGAGAGGGCTATCTAGCCAGACCGGTGACCAAGCTCTAGGACGAAGAGGGGCAATAACGACCCCAACACGCGCCAAGCCGACGAGGACAGGGCCTGTGATCCAATTTACTGCAATAACAAAACGAAAATGGATCTCCCGCTAGAATGAGGAAAGATACATAAACCCCCCAAATGCTCTTGTCGCGTGCAGCTTGTCGTGGCTCAACTCTCGCTCCGGCTCGCAGCGATACCGCTCTAAGGTACGTACCCGCTCTCTCTCTCTCTCCCTCACACCTTGGTCGCTGTCTTCCCTCTACCCCACTGCCCACTCATTGCCTACCCGATCCGACTTCACAGCTGAGGTCGCCTGCCCCTAAGGCCTCTATCTCGACTCCTCCCCCGTCGGATTCCTTCTTCCCTCGCATGCACCCAACCCATCCTCTCGTCCCAGTTCCTCCTCCTTCGACCATGGCTCGGCGCACCCTCTATCTCATCCCTCTCTTAATCTACTAACTTAACCTTAGAACCGACTTCAGTTTTGGGGTCACCCACCTCGAAAACCCCCGAGGCTGACCTCATTCCGCCAAAAACAACCAAGGATTAACTGAGCTTCGACAGACTGCCCTTCTCGTCTCCCCCGTTCGTCGTTCCGCCATGCCCCGACGCACCTCTCTTCGTTACTAACCTCCCATCTAGCTTCCCTATTGCCAAGACTAACACCRTAACTTGGTTTGCCCGGCCAGGCCCTRTCGAAATGGCCTCCTCCCTCTCCCAATCCCGTTAGGATTCGAGCCGGAATCGCTATTCGCCCCTGCATATCCACTTTCACTCCGCCATAGCCCCCGATGCACCACCCTTCTCTAATAACTCCCACTCTACCAACTTTTCACTAATTCTGACACGAGAAGSGGAGTCKCTCAATACAAAACCTTAAACTCYYTTCTWTCSCCACCAGTTTCCACTTCGGTTCGAGAGCTCRYCGCGTTCTTGACTGCRCCCGACCCTCCCCGAATGCACCTCGACGCGGGCCTTAGCCAGGTCGATCCCCCTTTGTTCTCCGCTCATCCCTGTTGACGTCAACTGCACTCCGCCCAGCGCTTCCCTGCGGCCCCTCGACAGATTGCCTGGCAGCGCCCGGTCCAGGGACTCTCGTCTCCGAAAGAACGACCACGGTCGAGAACCGAAAGTAACAAAAAAAAAAAAAACAGGCTCCTTCCAAATTTATATGCCCTGCCTGGTCGTAGGAGCCACGCCAATCCTCTTTGCATCGTTCCAATTTTTAACAGCTGTCCCGAAGAACTTTGCGCCGACTGGCCCCTCTTCATTACCAACACGGGCAGCCGCCGGAAGGATCCAACCACGGGACGATCCGATCGGGCCCCCGCCTCCCCGATCATCTGCATGTACCCGGCGCAACCTGAATCCGGGTTCTTTTCAAATCCTTATGCTCCATCCTTGCGCAGGGGCCGTGCAGATTTTCCCCAAGCGATTCCTCCCTCAGTAACTCCTCCTCCTGTTCAGCTATCCCTGCATGAACCCGACCTCCTTTCGGGGCCCGGTTCAGGCACCTACCAACCTCAGCTCCTACGACTATTAGGGCCCGCCCCCTTTTCTACGCAGCACGCAATCGCTGGGCGGATCCGGCCACAAGACAGTTCGGCGCACCCGGCGCAGCCTGCGTCCGGGTCCATTCTCAAATCTTTTGCGCATCGCCCCTCGCGCCACGGTCGTGCGGATCTCCTATGTATCGCTCCAATATTTAACGGATGTCCCGAACGACTTCGGCCGGGGCAACGCCCCGCGATTCTTCCGCCACTCGGCCTCCCCCTTGCTCTCGCGCGTGCACCTGGCCCGGCTCGCTTCCGGTTTTTTCCCCGGACCTTTCGTGCCTCCCCTCATGCAGGGCCATGCTAATCTCCTCTGTATCTTTCGGACTTTAACAAATGTCGCGAAGGGCACAGCCTGGGTCGCAGAGGCAACCGGCCCCAGGCAATTCGGAATACTTGGCTTTACCCACCAAGTTCCGTCATCTGGATCCAAGCGCCGGTTTACAATTCAATAGTTCACGGGTGTACCCACCGCGGTTTCACGCCCACATGCGGGCGTGAAAAAATAATAGTAACAAAAATTCGAAATAAATAAATTATACATAAATAGATATATGGAACCCGCAAAGCGTGCGGTAATCGGGCGGAAACCGCGGCCCCCACAGTTGTAAAAGGCGAGGGGGATAGTCCTACAGGCCCATCAACCCCTCAAGCCTTTCCGCCACGCTCCTCCGCTCCCCTACTGCATGCTGTTGGCCTCGATCCCTACGTCCACTGTATACCAGTCCGACACCGTAACMTATAGGGCTAAGCCCAACCCTGAGACTTGTGCACGCGGGTTCTCACATAAAGCAGTGCGGCCCCCCCTTCCCATTATGGGCTGGGAAAACAGCCCGAGCCCCTTGTCCGCCTACAAACACGCGCATGGCCACCGAGTTCCCATGCTGTCTCACACGGGTTGTGTCGCGGCCACCACTTACGCCATTTCACATGCCGAATCTATCGCTGGCCGATCGCGGTGAATGGGAACCGAAACTTCCTAATCCTTAGTCTAATCGACATACAGCCATCGACCGAGTAATTATGCTCGGCGTTTTGATTAATCGGAGGGGCAAAAATCACATGCGCGCCTTAAAACTGTGCGCCCACTCACCCCTCCTACTCGGACGGCCTTTAAACTGCGCGAGGGTGACCACCGCGTTTTCCCGCGCCGGCACTTCAAAGACCTAACTTGACCAAACCTTCCTGTCGCTTGCAAAAACCAGGGCGGATACCCTTGTAAGGGTATTCGCGCCGACAACGCGGCTGCAAATTTCGCGTCGTATGCTTCCGCAAGCCGACGATCGGTGATGGTTGTAGTCGCTTGTTCGCGATTCCGATACTTTATCTTCAGATCTTTGCAGATCACTTTGAGGTCGTCTATATTCGCGTCCATCATATGTCGACGAAGATCTTCCACGTACCTCTCCTCCCCTCCCGGGCCGCAACTTGCAACCACTCCCTTCATCTTCGGGTCGAATCTCTTATTTTCGAGCTTCTTAGGCGATTGCTTCTTGAGCGGCGAGTTCCGAGCTGGAGATTGCTTCGGTGGTGACTTCTTTGGTGATGATCGCATCCTGAACTTATAGCGCCCACTCGTTGTCGTCACCTTCTTCCCGGAAGAACCAGGGGTCACCGGACTCTTCCCCTTAGTCCTTCGTTCTTTAGAGGGGGTTGTTAATGGCGAGCTATTGCCGATTGCCATATCCTCACCCGCTTCCGTTTCTCACACAATTCCGCCTTGGATGCTTTCTTTTTGGAGTTCATTCAATTCCTCATCCTCGAATTCTGACGAGCCATTGCCACCACCCGCACATTCTATCATCTTTCGTAAACGTCGTTTCTTCGCTGATCTCGTCTCCTTTTTGCTACTTTGCCGTCCAACCTTCAAACGGAATCTCCGTTCTGCTTTGTCCTCAGCGACCTGTTCTCTCGCCAAAGCTGCATCTTCAGCCGTCTCATCAAACGTTCATCTCTTTCAGCTTCTTCCCGCTTCCGTATCTCTTCTCTTAACTTCTTGCGCTTCATCTTCCTTTGCAACTCAGCCTCTCTCTTCTTACGTTCCGCCTCGAGTCGTTCCTGCTCCTCACGTTCTTTATTCTTCTTCACTTTGTCTAATATATGCTTCCTGATAAATGCGCTTTCTGATGGATCACTCGTCGTGCCGATCTCTCCCCTCGGGACGGTAGTCTGCACTTGCTTTGTGACGTTTGTTCTTGGTTCCCATGGTGTAGGTACGAAGGCTGCACCTGTCGCCTTGCACATCCAATACTTGGCACAGTCACGTGAAAAGTGCCCCGCAGTGTTGCACTTATAACACAGTTTCGACGTCCCAGCTTCGCTACTACTTTCGTCTCCTCCTGGAGGATCTTTCCCGCTCGACGCCATCCTTACTACCGAAGCTTGCTGCCTTGATCATTCTGTTCCTTCGACGTCTTCAGCAAATGCACCAGATGGTGCTGCAGCCACCCAATTAGGTCGAATCTCCTAGTCGGTTACTGCATGAGGTTAAAGCAATACTCAAAAACCAACGATACGTCGGTCATCAGAAGACATACGCATGCAAACGTTGAGCTTTGACACGCAAAGAAGCAACAGCAGCGTTGAATTGTGATATAGAGAAATTAGAGAACATGATATCGTTGGTTTTTTAGTATTGCTTTAACCTCATGCAGTAACCGGCTAGGAGATTGGACCTAATTGGGTGGCTGCAGCACCATCTGGTGCATTTGCTGAAGACGTCGAAGGAACCGAAGGATCAAGGCAGCAAGCTTCGGTAGTAAGGATGGCGTCGGGCGGGAAAGATCCTCCAGGAGGAGACGGAAGTAGTAGCGAAGCTGAGACGTCGAAATTGTGTTATAAGTGCAACACTGCGGGGCACTTTTCACGTGACTGTGCCAAGTATTGGATGTGCAAGGCGACAAGTGCGGCCTTCGTACCTACACCATGGGAACCAAGAACAAACGTCACAAAGCAAGTGCAGACGACCGTCCTGAGGGGAGAGATCGGCACGACGAGTGATCCATGTTGTATAGAGAAATTTAACTTTGGGCCTTTTTTTAGGAGATGGGTGAAGATCCTACATACAAACGCCACGACGAGAGGTATGATTAATGGGAACCTAGCTCCTCCTATTTCACTCGAGAGATCGGTTAGACGAGGCGACCCGATAGCTCCTTATCTCTTTGTCATTATGATGGAGGTTTTAGCATTTAATGTAAGAAAAAACAAAGATATCAAACGTATCCAAGTCGCTTCAATTTCAGAGGAGGTCATTCCAGTATGTTCCCTTTTTGCTGATGACCTGTCCTTGATGATTGATGCCTTGGAGGAAAATATGAGAGCGATCAAAATGTTGATGGATAAATTTTGTACCCTATCTGACACGCGGATCAACTGGGGGACTAAGACGCAAGGATGGTGGATTCACCATCAGGGGGTGAGACCACCAAAACAACCCCAGATAAATTGGTTGCCCCCGCCATCCCCAATTAGAGTGTTAGGGGTCTCCCTGTCGGCGGAAGGAAAACCAACAGCTAATAATGAATGGATCGCACAACCGGTTCTGGCAAAACTGGAAGTATGGAAAGACAAACAAACTTCCCTAATAGGTAGATCGTTAGTTATTAACAATGTCATATTAGCTGCTCTTTGGTACAGATTTGCCATATGGTCCTTAGAAAAACCCGCTCTCCAAGGCCTACAAAAGCAAGTGACAGCCTACTTATGGAGGGGGAATCATGAATGCAAGAATGTGATCAGTCGAGTAGCCTGGCAAGCGGTGATCCAGCCTAAATCAAAGGGTGGATTGGGTATCTTGGACCCAAACACACAAGCTCTAGCATTGTCCATCCAATGGATTAAGAGGTTGCTTTTTAACCCACAAACGTCGTGGCAGGTGCTGGCTTGGAAACAAATTGCAAGACTGGCACCAGAAGTCCCGGATGCAGCAGACCCGATGATATGCTTAGAGAATCGACACTGGTCTATCCCGAAAAGTCACACACAGAACGTGAACAATGAGCCAATTTCAGACAGGAGGGCAGCAAGGTTAGATATCAAAAATGATCCTTCCTGGCCTAATCTACTTAAAACATGGCGAAAGCTTCCACTCCCCGATAAATGTCCTCCAAACAGATGGGAAGAGGTGTGCCAACAACCTCTTTTCAATAATAGATGGATCAAGGACTATCAAGGATACAGTCTACATTGTTTGGATTCTCCATGGAAAGGATGGGTAAAAAGAGGAGTCCTCAGGGTTGGGGATATTTGGTGTAAAGAATCTAATGACTGGTGTGAACTTGAACAGATCCAGCCTATTCTTTACTGTTGTAGACACTCCAAAGAAGCCCTGGATACTGTAATTGAGCTAATACCCCTAGACTGGATAAGAATCCTTAAAAAAGGACCAAATCTAAAGGAGGGGGACTGGGTGGGTGTTGCATATTGTAACGTGCAGACCAGAACAAGAACCGACCTTTCAATACAAAGTATAAGATAGCACAACGGAAGACTTAGATACCAGTGATCCGAACAATCAATGTTGAAATGCAGCCCTGAACATACATTATCATCATTGTTACATGGTGTGAAATGGGCCTGGCGCTTCACACACGAAGACTGCGCCATCCCATACCATACACAGACGAAGAGGAAGGGGATAGACGAAGAGGAGGGGGAAGATGGGAATGTCGTCAACACCAAGTCTTCGGCGCAAGCCCAAATAGTCCCTCG